GGGGGCGGGCGTCCCCTGGGGGTCCTGGGGCGCGCGGGCCGCGGCGGGGTGGGGACGCGAGTGCCCGCCCCGCGCCCTCCGACCCCGCTCTGGGCGCCGAGTGGCATTCGCCCGCCGGCCGAACGTGGTTGGTGCACGGCCGTGGCCGCCACTTCCTTTCCGCCTCGCGGGCCGGGCTCGCCCACCGAGCGCTGCCCGCCTCGGCCAATCGTGGCGCCCGCCCGCCTGCGGCCGCGCTCAGTGCCCCGGCCTGGGGGCCGGCCCGCGAGAGGGGCTCGGGAAGCCTCCGCAAGTTCGAAGGGCCTCTGGAGGTAACTCAGCCCCTCGCCAGGACGCGCCGGCATCTGTCTTTGGCCCCACGTCTTGGTACGTTTGCCGCCCTACCCCCTTGCCCGGCTAGAGGGGGAGAAGGGGAGGAGGCTGGCAGCCCGAGCCGGGCGCAAAGACAGTGTTCCGGGCACCAGGTGAGGCGCCCGGGTCCGTGGTTGTAGGCAGAAGCCTCGGTCACCGGCTGCAGATGTGCCCCCTGGGACTGGCAGTCGAGGTTGCCACATTTTAGCGGCGTGGGTAGCACTCATTTTCAGTCCCAGAGTAGAGTGTTTGGAACTTGGGGACATGTTACCCGCTCCGTCCCTCCTCAGCCCCTCCCTCCGGTGCGGGCGGTGGGTTGTGCTCCTCGTCCTTGGTTACGGGTTGGGAAGAAGACAGCGTTTCTCAATGAGGAAAAGTGCTGGCATTTGCCTTCCGCCACTGGCCTCCCTGTTGCTGTGACTCGGTCTGCTTTTGATGAATGGCTAGGGAGGGTGGAGGATAGTTACATTTCCTGTTGTGGATTTTCAGGAATCACCAAGGTTGCTGTCACGCCTGCAGTCATTTATTAGTTTTCAGCCCGATTGCAAGTAGCATTGGAACTTAGGAGCCTGCACTTTCTGGTGCTTTCAGGGCAGGTGCAGGAAGGGGTCTGGTGACAGACGAGTTCGAAAGGTGGATCCTCTTGATGTTAGACAGACGCGCGCTTCCTTGCCAGGACCTTGAGGGTGATCCCTGTTTCACGGCAGCTTGCACGCAGATTCAGGATTCTCTCCTTTTCTCAACGCCCATCCTTCCTTTTTTGGACGGGAGAGGGATGGACATAGAAACCTAAAAAGTCTTGGAAAAACTTGTCTTTTCTAAGGAAACCTCGGAGATGGAATGTTTAGAAATTAAAGTGGCATTGCTAAGGGGTAATCTTGGAACATCTATCGATTGATGTGGCAAAGTCCGGAATGTCGCTGTTATTAGTGAATGATTATAATTTATAACAGCCTGTTGTGTAAGAAGTTAGATTCTGCCCTCTTAGATTCAGGAGCCCTGTTCTGCGATGGCTTGTAATTCCTTCTTAATATTAAACATTTATATATTTCATCCAATGCGAGTGGTCTTTTTTTCTTTTGATCTTCAAAAGTTCAAGATAATTTTGCCTATTTCAGACTTACTTACCTGTAAAAATGTCACCGTAATCGAAAGTAAGAGTTTGTAGTTAAATTGGAAGCAAATTGTGGCAAAGAAATGGTTGTGCTAAGCGCAGCTCTGTGAACTATGGCCCCACTCTTCTCTTACTGTGCTTTCTGAAGTACTGTATTAGGCAAACATTCAATATGCTAAAGCTAGTTGAGGGTGTTAAACTTACAACTAGTTGTGGAAAATTTGAGACTTTGGATGTTTAACTTGAGATGTGCATCCATCGTTGTTTCATGGTACTTTTGCAAGGGCATTGTACTTTTATTCTTAGGATTATCGAATATAAGCTCTGTGGTTTCGAGAGCATTTTCACACAATTTCCTTTTGATGGAGAACAGAACTCTAAATGGGGTATCTGGGACATAGTTCTGTTTTGTGCTTTATACCAAAAAGGACTCAGAGCAGATAAAGGACTTTATTTATTCATTTAATAAATATTCGTGAGACATTCACTATGTGTCAGACACTGTGCTAGGCTCCGTGAGTTCAACTGGGAAGAGGAAGACAACTTCCTTTACCTTCTTGAGAAATTGCTTGTAGTTGATGAGCTGATAATAACACAACTAAAAGATAACTAACAGTGATTGCCTTTTGGGGTTAGTTCTATGGAAGGTGATAATAATACTTAACTGCATATCTGATAGGGTTGCTTTGGGGAACAGATGAGATACTGTGTATGAAAGAAGGTTGTATAAGTTACAGCAGTCTACAAATGTGTGAGGCATTAACTTTCAGAATTCCGTCATTATTATTAATGTGAAAAAGCCAGGAAATCAAGACTGTGGATTAAATACTGGCATTCTCCTACAGAATTTTCAGCAAAAAGGGATTTACTTCTCCTGAGAGTATAATATGGGTAATGGCAAGGAATTAAACACAGAATAGCTATTTTATGTAAAGCACCAAAGAATTTAACAGTGAAATATAATGTCAGTGAATTTTTTCCTGTCAGAAGAGAAGTTAGATGGTATCCATGGAGACCAAATGATATGGAAATAACAGTGATTGGACTGATGTCTTTCTCTATCCCCCCCCAACCTTTCTCCCCACCTCGCG